TCTTCTCTGCCAGAGGGGAAATACATGACGGCTGCATTCAGAGTCTTCCTTAACTTGTCGGAGCCTCTTTAAAACTGGGTGAGCTTGCCTTTCTCAGCTGCGTGATACAGGGGGCAGGTCTGTCCGGCTCAGCCACAGGGGAAAGGGGTACTCTCTCTTTGGCACTGGTCCTCAAACTTGGTTGTACATTGTAATCACCTGGGGAATTTTTTTAAAATAAATTTATTTATTTATTTATTTATGGCTGCGTTGGGTCCTCATTGCTGGGCGTGGGCTTTCTCTAGTGGCAGTGAACAGGTACGGGGGCCCCTCATTGCGGTGGCTTCTCTTGTAAAGCCCGGGCTCTATGCGTGCGGGCTCAGCAGCTGCAGCGCGTGGGCTCAGCCACTCTGCAGCAAGTGGGGTACTCCTGGGCCAGGGCCTGAACCTGTGTCCCCTGCACTGGCAGGTGGACTCTCAACCACTGCACCACCAGGGAGTCCCCTCACCTGGGGAATTTTTAAAAATACTGATGCCTGGCTCCTACCTCCTGAAACTCTGATTTAATTGATATGGGGTGTGGACTGGACATCAGGATGTTTAAAAGTACCTCATATGATTCAAATATGTAACAAAGTTTGAGAACCACTGATCTGTAGAATGAAACTGCCCCCAGATTTATTTTTTCTAGGCAGAAAATCTCTGCTTCATTTGCCTTTTCTCAAAGATCATATTTCTTAAAACTTTAAGCATAGCTGGGGCTGGCTTCCAGCTCCTTCTCGATTCCAAGTTCAAAGCTGGGTCCAGGTCATCATTAGAGTCTGATCATTATTATGGAATATTTTACTTAAATCATTTAGTTAATTAAAATAAAATTACCTTGTTTATTTACACTTGAATTAGAGAAGAGTATAGCATAGTGGACAGGGCTGAGTTTTAGAGGTGGACAGACTTGGGCTCCAATTGTAGCTCTGCCTCTGCTTTCTATGATCTTTGGTAGGTGACAACTTCTTGGAGCCTCAGTCTATCCAACTATGAAATGGGGACAATGCCTACCTCTTAAGAGATGGTTTGACGATTATAGAAGACATGTAAAGTGCCTAATATAGGGAGTGGTGGTAAAAGAATAATTTGTCCCATACCTCCCAGGGACCAGAAGTGCTCACTCTTGTGACAGATGGATTGAACATCTTCAGTTTTCAGAGAACCTCTGGTGCCTGTGTGTTCTTCATTCTGGAAGCAGAAGCCCACCCGCTTTGGGGATGGTTGTGTGGACCCTGGGCCCTGGTCCTGCATTTCTCAGAACTGATGTTCTTCTGTATGAAATAAAAGCTCAATGCTGTTGCTTGAATAATTCAAGTAGAAAGAAAAAAGCAATATATCTAAATAATATTTTATGTAATATGTGATTTAAATATGTATTAAAAACTAAATTAATGTTAAATATTGTAAGCTGATGTTAGGTCATTTTATATATGTCCACAGCCCTAAGAGTTCATGTATTCCAGTTGTCTAAAAAATCTTTGTTTTGGTATCCTCATTGAAAAATGGGGAATCCTCTTTAAAAAAACAAAGAGCTCAAGGTTGACACAGCTCGATGGGGGTTAGGGACCTTCTGAGGGAAGATAAGAATTTCTGGGCAAAAGTTGTGACACAAAGAGAGCCCATGTCCTCTGTGTCCACTCTGGTCCCCACAGTCGCCCTGGTACCTTTGTGTATCACCACCACGGTTCTCCAGCCCTGTTGTCTGCTGCAGCAGCCCCTGTTCAGACTGGAGGAGGTCTTAGATCCAGGCCTCCCTCAGCCACAAGCCTGTCTCTGACTTGCTGGCAAGGGTGGCTGTCTGTCCCTTCCCATCTTACCCAGGGGAATATTTCTGAAGCCTGGTTGCAGTAGGCAGAGGAGGAGGGTTGGATAAACCATACTTCCCTTCTATTCCCATTCCCCTCATTTAAGGATGTAGAAAGTACAGTTCAGAGAAAAGGGGTCGCTTACCTAAGGTTGCACAGTTAGTGGCAGTCCTAGGCCTGGAACCCACATCTCCCAGTTCACAGCCTTTCCTAAGCCCCACACCTCTGCTCTGGATCAGACCTGATTCCTTTATTTTCCTGGGCTGGTTTTTTCCACCACCCCGAAAACTTCCAAATGGCTTTTGACTACTTTCATTGGCTGTGAGTGCAAGGAACACACTTGGAATACTCAAACCCACAAGAAACATAAAAATCATGCAATATCTTTTAGTATCAAATTGTGGATTATTTTTGTATGTAGACATATGAACAGATAGTTAAAATGCAATGTGATATTTGTTATACTAGAAGGATGTTCAGGATGCTGTGGGAACCCTGAAGAGGGAATAATTAACTCTTCCTAAGGGAAATCAACCCTGCTTCTCAAAGGTAGAACATTTGAACAAGTTTGGAAGGTTGAATAGGAGTTTATCTGAAAAGGAGTGGGGCAGCAAGAAAGAGTATTTTAGGGAGAGGGGACATCACTTTCACAAACATAGAGTTATGCAAAGGTTTGGTGCATTTAGGGATAGCAGAGGTATTTGGCATGGCAAGGACATAGGGTGTGTGGCAAGTGAAGCTAGAGATGAGACTAGAGAGAGTTAAGGCCAACTCGGAAAGGGCCTTGAGTGACAAGCTGAGGATTTCGGTCTTTAAGGCCAGGGGAGGTACAGGATGTGTGATGAGGCCTTGTCTGATCTATTCAGTTATTTCTCTCTTTCTCATGATGATAATGAGGCTGTATGACTATGACAAGTGTTTGAGCATCTGGTACCAGGGAGTCGGAAACCTTGTGGAAATTATTTCCAACAATTAGAGCAGCATTTCTGACCTGGGAGTAGATGAGGAGGATCTTCCCTGGGCAGCCAGGTGGTAGGGAGGGACAGTCACGTGATGCCCCTGGGTGATGCCACCTGTAGAGAGCATCCTTCTCCACCGCTGGCCACTGTTCTTGGCAGGCGGGAGAGTATCTAGGAGATTGCAGATCCAGTTCTGTCATTAAAGTCCATGGCTCTGTGGAGGCTAGGGGAGGGGTTTTTTTGGGGGCGGGGGAGCGGAGTGGTAGGTGGGGGAAAGAAGAGTATTAAAATATTATTTTGCATGATTTTGTAGATTTTGATTTTTCCAGAATATATCAGTTATCTTTTGTTGCATAAAAAAACCACTCCAAAACTTAGTGGTTAAAACAACAACCAAGCTTTATTTATGATTCTACAGTTGAGGGTTTGGGCTGGGATGCTCTGGATAGTTCTTCTGGGCTGGGCTGGGCTTGGCTAATCTCTGCTGTGCTTACCCATGTCTGTGTTCAGCTGGTGAGTCAGTTGGGGCTACCTGGTTTGTGACGGCTGCAGGTGGGGTACCTGAGAAAACTGAGGCCTCTCTCCACATGGTTTCTCATCTTCCAGCAGTCTAACCTGGGGTTGTTCACATGGTAGTCTTAGAGTTCTGAGAGCGAGAGCAGAGTCATATAAAGCCACTTGAGGTCTAGGCTTAGAACTTACTCAGTGTCATTTTTGCTGCATTCTGTTGGCCAAAGCGGGTCATGAGGGCAGCCTAGCTTCAAAGGATAGAGAAGACTCCACTTTTAATGGATAGGATTGCAAGGTATGGGCACAGGGAGGGGGAGAGTTTGTGACCACTTTTTCAGTCTCCCTCTCAGACTATCTGACTTTCATCACCTGGGAGAGTTGATAATTGAGGTTATTGCCCTACCATGAATGGGATATGAGAAATCTTTTGAATTCAAAGTCAACATTCATGGAGGATCATGTGAATTCTCAAGTATTGTTTAATTCAGTCCTCATAGCAACTCTTGTTTTTCCTTTCTATTTTACATATGAAGAAACTGGGGCACAGAGGAGTTAAGTGAGATTAAGTGACTTGCCCAACCATGGTCACTGACTTGGTTGACCTGGTGGTAGACCTGGTGTTTGGGCTTAAGTTTGTCTGCCTGCAAGTCTAGAGCAACTGCCATTGTATCATTTTGGTGATATGGGGCAGAGAAGACTGTGGTGGTATTGCTGCATGCACTGGCATAGCCAGCCGCTTTTCAGGTTGTCCTCATCCCTGGGCGCAGGCACCTGGCCCTCCTCAGGAAGCTCATCTTCTTGTACCCAGTGGGCTGAGTGCCAGTGGGGTGGACCTGAAGTACTGCAGTCTCCAGGGTGGCAGTGTCATGCTGCTTATATAGTTCAGGAGTCCACCATGCTGATGAATGTGTTGGAGACTGCTGCATTTCTCTGGGGAGAGGGGAGTAGGACAAGATGTTCATGTTCACCGGTGGAACATACATATATGTGGTGCACCCAACATGGACTGGGTGGAGAAGGCCCAGCAAAACCTCTTTGAGCCCCAGAGGCAGACCAATTGGTATTGGTTGTAACAAGAGAAGAATCCCTCCTAGATGAGCAGGCAGGGAGTCCTTGCCTTTCTCTGGCTAGAACCTTCTTGGAAGCTCTAGCTTTGAGATCTTTAAAGTAATTCTACTACACAGTAATGTAAATGGCTGGAGCTGTGCCCTGGGGTAAACTGACCCCTTTGAACTTAGCCAGTAGTGCGAACTAGGCTCTCAGGACTGTGGAATGCAGAGTGGGAACAGCAGGAAGGCACCTGATTATCAGAACTGGAGCAGGGTTGGGCCTCTAGTAACATGGCTTGTAGGAAGGAAAGGAATGTAGGATCAGGCAAAGATGAGGATGTGGGAAGTTCTGTAGGGCAGGCCGCTAATTGGATGGTCATGTCCAGAGTACCTAGATGGTAAGTGCAGGCTATGGCATCAAACATATTTCATTTTGGCACAAGTGGTATTGGTACATACCTTGGTGTTGTGTATTAGAAAGCCTTGCGTCTGGGTCCTATGTTATGTATAATCTGCAGTGTTGCCCTGACTTTGCTATCTTTCCCACCTTCTCCCAGAGCTCATCTCCTGTCCTGGGTGTAAGCGAGTATACCTTACCAGGGATGTAACTGAACATTTTTTTGCTGCAGTGCTTTTCTTCTGAGCAATCCAAGATGGCCAGGGTAAGTCAGGACAAGCAAAGAAACAGCTGATCCTGTTCAGAAATCTATGGGACCCCTGTCCATAAGTCTGTCTGTCCACCCATCACTCCATCTGACTTGTTACTCTTCCACCAGTTTGCCTAATCATCCATCCATCCATCCATCCATCCATCCATCTATCCATCCATCCATCCATCTATCCATCCATCCATCCTTCTATCCAGAAGAGAAGCAAAATGTTTCAGTTGGGGAAGCAAAATTGGGGTGTTTTCTCTCTCTTATAGCTCTTACTGAAAACTATGGGTACTAAGCTTTTATTCCCCACCCTGCACCCACCCCGGCACACTGAGTTGAAACTCATGCACCAGCCTGGGTTAAATGGGTCATCAATTATGCTTATATTTAACAACTAATGCCTGAGTTTCTGAAATTTCACATCACTTACTGACTGGTATCCCTTCTGTTCCTTTCTCCACTGGGGTATCCTTGCCCACTACATTTTATTCATTTGCTGTTTTACTTACTTGCACCTGTATTAAATTCTTACTGAATGTCTGATATGCCAGGGCCTGGGTGCTAGAAAGACAGAGACCCATGTCTCTACCCTCAAAGAATTCATAGTTTGGTCAGTAAAACTTGTATTTCTCCTCTTTTTTCTTTTTCTTGCTGTGGGTTTGTCAAATCCCATCGTGAGGACAAAGCTGTCAGAATCCACATCAGTTTGGTGGCCTGTGTAATTCAGGCACAGACAGACTAATTTTTCTTCTTCTCCACCTTTTATATCAGCCCTGCATGATATTTGCTGACCAAATGAAGGAACATTTGTTCCAGAAGAAGGCTAGGGACTCTTGGTCCTGGCAAGCCGCAGCAGTGGAAACACAGCTCTGGGAGTTGGTGCATCCTACTTTTTCCCGGCTGTGTATGATTGTCGTTTTGTGCACTCATACAGCTGCAGCTTCTTGCTCTCCGTAGGCACACTGAGGATTTTTCTTTCGCCTGTGCTTTCCGTTTTCCTCCCTTGTCTGCCTGGTGAACTTCTACTTGCCATTCAATATCCAACTCAGATGTCACCTCTTTATGGAACCTTTCCTGGCCACTCCTAGGTGGAACTCCTGGAAACCTTGCTTTGCTTCCTTAGCACTTGGTGCATCCTTTCATCACAGCATTACCCACTGAATGTCTGCCACCCTGTCCAGGCTGTGTGTACCTTGAGAGCAGATCCTTGCCTTATTCATCTGCGTATCCTCAGCTTCAGCACAGGACTTGTGTGAATAGCTCCTGAGGGCAGTACTCTTAGTCACAAAGCGCGCTTTCCCTCACACGCCCCTGCATGTCACTCCCAGGCAGCTCTCCAGAATTGACTGCACTCCAAAACAGTGGAGGAACAGCCCTGCAGGACCCCGGTCCCTAGAGTATTGACCACTCATAAAAGCAGGCCCAAATGATGAAGATACTGTCAGTAATTCCAGAACTCTCTACCTCTAGAACTGCTCCGAGTGCAAGGAGAAGAGGGCGGCACACATCCTCTGTACCTACTGCAACCGCTGGCTGTGCAGCTCCTGCACGGAGGAGCACCGGCACGGCCCTGCCCCTGGGGGCCCCCTCTTTCCCCGGACCCAGAACGGGTCTCCAGGTATCACTCCTCACCCTCTCCACTAGCTCACATGCCCTTAAGTAGTAGCGAACCATAGAATCTTTGGAGAATAGCTCTCTGACCTCGTTTCCCTGCTGGGGGTGAGGGTAGGGGTGGTCTCAGAGCCTTTCCTGAAGGAAAGCTGTCCCCTGCAGAGTCACATCACAGTGTAAACTCACTCTAGGCTCTCCCTGCCGGGGGGGCAGCGGGGGCGTGGGTGAGGGTGGGTGAGGCAGTGCAGGGAGGAATAGTCTTGAATTACCACGGAAGCTAATTGAGTTCCCTATCTTTCACCTCTGTTTCAAGCAAACAGCCCTCACTTCTGTTTAGTTACTTGATTAGTTCAGCAGACTGGATCAGGGTTTGTCCATTTATCCATCCAGCACCATCTGTTTTAAGTGACAGTCTTCTTGAAAGTCTTTTCTCAAGGCCCTTGAACTGTGAGAAGGGTTTTACCTTCGTCAGACAGGAACCAAAGTTCATGACCCATGTGATCTGGTCTGGAGCCTGGCAAGGTTGGGTAGCTTGTTTCAGCCTCACCATAACAGAATCCTGGTTAATGAGGAGATTTAGGTTGAGTTTTAGAGGACTCACTATTCTGCAGGAGATCCATGTGCAGCAGGTAGCAAGCCCCTTCCTCAGGCTCACCAGGTGGTGGGATGCCTGGGGCTTGATGGCCAGTTATTTCTGGACAGATGGGCAAATCCAGCCAGTCTAAGCCTGCCTTCCTCCTTGTGTTCCTGGAAGCTCACTGGCCCAGAGAGAGGCCTCTCTTACTTTGTACCACCTTCCCTCCAAGCTCTGTGTCTTCCCTGTGTCCATAGAGGGCTCCCTGTGTCCATAGAGGGTTGAGGGATGCTCAGTGGAACTTAAACTGAGCAAGAGAAGCCCACTTTCTCCATCTTCTCTGGCAGGAGTGAATGGTGGTTCTGGAGACTTCGCCTTGTACTGTCCTCTGCACACACAGGAAGTGCTCAAGCTATTCTGCGAGACCTGTGATGTGCTCACATGCCATAGCTGCCTCGTGGTGGAACACAAAGAGCACAGGTGGGGCCGGCGGGCTGCCCAAAGGGGAACTGGGAGGGCTCTGGACTCTCTACCTATGAGAGTGCTGGGCTCCCAGTACATCAGAATCCTCTCCCTGTTCAAGCCAACCTTCTGGCCCTGGGCTGAAGTTTTTCCCTGTTCCTGTTGTGGGCATTCGCTGGAGAAGGCCTGAAGGGCCAAGAGTCTTTGACTCACTACATGTAACCCCAGCCTCCATGGACCTGGCTGAGACAATGCACTGTGGGGATTCTCACTTGGCTGGCGTGCTCAGAATAAGACTCAGTCCTCCTCAGCTTTTTCTCTGCCTCCTACTCTAGGTGTAGACATCTTGAAGAAGTTTTGCAAAACCAGAGGATGCTTCTGGAAAGTGTGACTACACAGGTGGCGCATAAGAAATCTAGTCTACAGACATCTGCAAAGCAAATTGAGGACAGGTAACATAGGCTAGCCCCTTGCCAGCACTGGAAATGCTCTGTTCCCTCTCATCCTGGGTCACAGTGCTAGGATGGAGTACTTATAAGGAAGACATGCAGACATTGGCATATGTCCTGGTCTTAGAGGTCTCAGGGCCAGGGAGGGGGTTTTGGGTCATCACTTGGTGAATGGGGCCAAGCTAGGTCAGGATGATCACAGTGAGCCTGGGCTAAAGTACATGCCTTCTGAAAGTGGCCACGAACTAGTCAAAGGTAGGTGCTTAAGAACAAGGGCACAGAGTAGATACTGGGGAAGAGAGTGCTGCTTATCATGTGGGTACAGGTCAGTGGCAATCTACCCTTTATCACCCCTTTCCCAGTGTTTTCCATATAAACCTATACATGACATGAAATCATCTATTTTCTGTGGAAAGAGAAATAAGTATGTACTGAGAGGTCATCACAACAGGCACTGGGTTGGGCATCATGCATGCATCATTTTGATCAATTCTTATAATTCTTTTGAGTTGGGGTTATCTCCATTCTACTGATGAGGAGGCTAAGGTTCAGAGAGGTTAGGTGACTTGTCTGAGATCACACAGCTAGTCAGAGACTGAGCTGGGTTTGGAAGCTAGGTCTGTGTGGCTTCAAAGCCCATGTTTATTTTTTTTTAATGGCTTTTTTAAATGGCTTTAATGGCTTTATATATAATTTATATACCATAAAATTGCCCTTTTAAAATGTATAATTCAGTGAGTTTTTTGCATATTCATAGAGTTATACAAACATTATTACTGTCTATGTTTTTTTTAATATATGAATATATTTATTTATTTATTTTTAGCTGTGTTGGGTCTTCATTGCTGCGCATGGGCTTTCTCTAGTTGCAGCGAGCGGGGGCTACTCTTTGTTGTGGTGTGTGGGCTTCTCATTGTGGTGGCTTCTCTTGTTGCAGAGCACAGGCTCTAGGCGCACGGGCTCAGTAGTTGTGGCTCACGGGCTTAGTTGCTCCGTGGTATGTGGGATCTTCCCGGGCCAGGGCTCGAACTCTTGTCCCCTGCATTGGCAGGTGGATTCTTAACCACTGCATCACCAGGGAAGTCCCCTACTGTCTACTTTTGGAAGACCCTTTTTATCACCCTAAAAAGAAACCCCGTATACATTAGTAGTCACTCCCCATTCACCGTGCAACATCCCCAGCCCTTGGCAACCATTAGTCTACTTTCTGTCTCTACCTATGCTCTTTTTACTGCGTGACGCTGTTTAGTGGATTATTTCCCCTTTTAATAAAACAACAGATTACATGAAGTCATATCTGTACTCACTCTCTCTGTCCTGCCTCTAGTGCTGTGTGAACTGGTGAGCTACTGGGTTGACTTGGGCGTGGCCCTGCAGTTTACCTAGAGAAAACTGCATTGAACTTTGGGCCATTGTCCCACTTAGATCAAGTGGGCTGGGTTGTACAAAGAGTGGGATGGGTGGTGGAGGAAAGTTCTTGTTTCTTTACATTTGGTACCTGGTGGGCCCTGATCTCAGTAGGCAGCCTCCACACCGTAGACTCTTACATTTGCTGTCTATAGGCCCTCGTAGGCCTGGGGGGAAGGTCTTACCATGCTCTGTCTCATCCTGTTGTTTACAGGATTTTTGAGGTGAAGCATCAGCACAGGAAGGTGGAAAACCAGATCAAAATGGCCAAGATGGTTCTGATGAACGAGCTGAACAAACAGGCCAATGGGCTCATAGAGGAGCTGGAGGTATATGTGAGCAGATGGGTGGGTTCTGTTCTTTCCCTGGGGCAGAAACCAGGCACATATCAACCTTGTCTCAGGGCTCAGAGATGCCTGGGCTAGAATTCAGATGTGTAGTTTCCATAGCTCTCTGCTGCTCCCTGTATCTTAAAATGTCCAGTCTAATTTTGGGAAGTTGGCTCATTAAGGGCTAGAGAATCAGATCAAACTCCCATTAATGCTGTGGCAGTAAGGCAACTGCCTTCCTGGACTATGCAGGGTTATAGCCTTGAAAGAGACATGAAACAAGCTATGCCCAAGAGATGCAGGCATTCATTCATTTTCTCATTTATTTATTAGCCATTCCATGTTTGTACTATAAAATCTACCTACCCTGTCTCCCTCCCTCCCTCCCTCCCTCCCTCAGCAGCCCATGTCCTCCTCTCAGTGCAGTTTCATCTGATTCCATCTGTGTTTACACTGATACACACAGACCACCAGACTTCCCAAGCATGTGGCCTGCAGTCCAAGAACAGGATCAGGGACTCTGTCTTCTCTCTTCATAACCAGGGCATTGCTAATGAAAGGAAGCGGAAGCTGGAGCAGCAGTTACAGAGCATCATGCTTCTCAACCGTCAATTTGAGCACGTGCAGAATTTCATTAATTGGGCTGTCTGCAGCAAAACCAGCATCCCTTTCCTTTTCAGCAAAGAGCTGGTAAGAAGAACTCACACTCCTCAATCACTGACTTTGGGTTAGTCAGTGAAAACCATCTTTGACCAAACCCCACAGTGCAAAGGACCCAGGTGCTGGAATAGACCCACCTTCCTCCAAGCAACTCAGCTGGGAAGTTTTGTAGTTCTGTCTTAGGTCATGGATCCAGGCATTAATACTAGCAGTGTGCTGCACATTCCATAGGAAGTTATTTGGGTTTAAATGGGGCCTAAGAGGAAAGGAGGAGTTGAGGATGACATTGAAGTGTTGGGCTTGGGAGGGTGGTGATCCCCAGGAAAAGAAGCAAGAATTTTGAAGGATGTTGATGGGGTTTATATTTGGATATGTTGAAGCGAAGGTGCCTATAGGGCATCTAAAGGGAGCTGTCCCAAATCTGCTTTGATAGATGGGTCCGGAAGTCAGAAGAAAAGTCAGGGTTAGAGAGAGAGATGTGGGAGTCACTGGGATATCAGTGATATTGGAAGAGTGTGTGAAGGAAGAAGAGAAGAACAAATCTGGAGCCCAGGGAAATGCCGTCATTTTCACATAGACGGAGGAAGAAGATGAGTGAAAGAGATGAGAAGCAAGCATCGGAGGTGAGAGGAGAAATAGGAGAGTGTGGTGCACAGAAATTAACAGAGTCTCAAATTTTAAGTAATCAATGTTATCATTGCTACATAGGTGAAAGGGCATGAGTAGTGAAGCGAAGCCTTGAGGTCTGGGAATCAGGAGGTCCCTGGTAATCTTTTGAAAGACATTCCCACAAAGTAGAAGGGTCAAGAGCTAGAATGAGGAAGCTGAGGGTAGGAGGTGAGGAAGTAGAGGCAGAAGTGAAAAGAAGGGAAATAAGAAGGTAGCTTGAGAAGGAGACAGGGTTGGAATACTTTTTTAAAGTAAGGAAGACATTTGCACATGTTTATTTGGGAGAAGTGGTTGAAGGTGGAAGAGGTGTGTGGGAGAGGAAGCATACTGGAAGGGCAGAAAGAAGCGGGATCTAGAGTGAACTGGTTGACCCTAAGCAAGAGGCACTCCTTTCCTCTGAGATGGGAGGACAGGAAGGTGTCAATATAATGTAGTTAAGTTTGGAGATAGGAGGGATACAAGTTTGAGGGAAATATTTGTCTCATGGGTTTTTTCACCCTCTGTGAAGTAGGAGGTGATAATGAGAGGGCTAGGCATTGGGTAAATGGCATTGAGGAGAGAAGTAAAAATTTTAGATAGTCATTAAGGACCATGGAAGAGGAAGCTGACAAGATAGGAAGTGACAAGAAGAAGGACTGAAGGGTACCCCTGAGGGTAATGATCAGTGTAGCGACCCCAGATAACATGGATTTGGGATGGCTGGATTGACCCAAGGTCAGACACTGGGGATGGAAAGGGAACTAGGGCACTAGTGACATTGTTACTGAAAATGATGGGAAGCTGGGACGGCCCTATGGACTGAGGGAGCAGGGCTTGGGGAGTCCAATGAGGCTGAAGAGCATGCTCAGAAAGAGTGAGAGCTGGTTATGATCAGTGGGTAGGTTGTTGGAGTTTAAGGTCTCATAGGTAGAATGGTTCTAGATGATGAAAATGGTCTAGATATGGTGAGTGAACTGAAAAGAGAGGTGAAGGTGATTTTCATTAAAGAGATCAAGGAAGTAAGAGGCCAAGATGTTGATTAGGACACTGGTTAACTAGATGTTGTCAGGGCAGTTGGATACTTGCCAAAGTCCTAGATAAATGGGAGAGTTAGCGATAGGAGATAGATGAAAGGGATGAGGGAGGAAGAGGGCAGTTGACTAGGATGTAATAGAGTTTTACAAGTGGATGGAAGGACAGCTATGGGGAACTCAGAGAATGTCTGCCCCCCATTGGCTTTTCATGTGAGATTATGGTAGAATGAAAGGAATGCTCTTGAGAGGCTGCCAGGCAAGTGATATTCTGAGGGAGAATTAAAATCATTTGAGGCCTGGAAGAGATAAGAATGTAGGCTTTCCATAAGCCTCAGTAAGAAGAAGGGGATCAGTAGGGGTGGGGGAAAGCGGAGGAATGTGAAGATGTTAAGGTGTAAGGAAATAAGCAAGCATATGGGGGAGGACCACAGGCTAAACAGCCAGGACTTTGGCCTTCAACTTATCCAAAGAGTGAGGGAGAGGGCGTTGTCATTCAGGCACAAGATGCCCAAAGAAATGACCTTTGGTGCTGTTGTCAGATTGTGTTTCAGATACAGCGATTACTGGAGACCAATTGTAACACAGACCCTGGTTCCCCTTGGAGTATCAGATTCACCTGGGAGCCTAACTTCTGGACCAAGCAGCTGGCTTCCCTTGGTGAGCCCAGGGCCTACTCTGTGGGCCTGTGCATGATTGCTAAGAACACATATAGACCATCTGCTTAGCTTACTGGGTAGATCAGCATATGCCCAGGAGAAAGCATTCCCTGAGACTGCCAGAGCAAACCTGAATGACTGGGGGTGATGAGGGTAGGGTTGGGGTGGGGGTGGGGAGAGTTGATAGCTTAAACAGCAATGGCAATACAGGACTTTTGTAACAGGACCAGTTGAGATCTGAGCTTCCTATTCTGCATGAATGTCCCTCTTCCCTTGTTTTCATTGCTAGAAGAGGAGACAAGACAGTGGCCCTACTCTCCAGAATGCCGTATGGCAGTCAGTGCACATGTGTGTGGGCACAAACAGAGATATTTCAGCGACACAGAGAGGAGACAGACAATGTCACACATGTCCTTTGGAGTTGAGATATAAGCAGATAATTCATGACCTTGTGCATTTTTCTTCCCTGCTGCAATAACTTGCTGGCATTCAGTCTTTAGGCAGAATGTAGACAACTTGAAGTTGTGCCTGTGTTGACAACCTAATGGTAGGTTTGTTAAACTAATGGCCAACTGCTACCTTCATCCGGGCTGTTATTGTCAGTGAAAGTGTTTTGAACTTAACAGAGTGATAAATGATATATTTAGGTTTATTTTTTGCTTCCCTTACCCTTTTGATTTAATTCAACAGACCTTTGGTGAGCACCTGCTCTGAGTCAGGCCCCACCCTAGCCACCAAGTGACCAAAGGTGAATAAAACACACCTCCTGCCCTCAAGACACTTGGTCTTCCCCTAAATAAGCCTCAGATGAGCTGAAGGAGCCGTTAGCCTGAAACAGCAATGGATATCATCTACTCATGTATGAGGGCCCAGGGGCCTCAGTCCGCAGCACTGGCACCTGGCATTGACCCTGGTGTTAGAGCTTCCCCACTCTCTTCCATCCGACTTGCCCAACACACAGTTCCCCAGCACCATATTTGAAGACTTGCTCATTTGTCCTGGGGATGAGCCTCCTTTGCCACTTTGCAGCACACTCCTTCTTCTCCCCCAGTGTTGATTGTTTTTGGTCTGAGTCTCTCTTGGGCTGTTCTGTTAAAGAAGAAGTAGGTGCTCTTTGAGGGAGCCCGTGGTTTCTCTAGTGAGATACAAACAGAGTCAGCACTGAGCATCTGGTAGAAGCTGAGCTAATTTCTAAGTGTCCCAGGCCCCAAAAGCAGGTCTATATAGGTCCAATTGCTGGAAGCATTCTAGACTGAGTCTTGGGGATCAGGGGTTGAATTTTTTAATCTCTGCACCTGGTACAGGTTTTTTTGAATACTATCCTTCGGTCCCAGGAGTAGGAGGTAGCAGAGGGGGAACAACTGCAGATTACCTTTGGAAACACTCTCTATTTTGAATTCTTAGGCTGTATAACTACTGAGGGTGGACAACTGTCCCCGGCAGATACTCCTGCGTATGGAAGCTTACAGGGACCGTCATCTTTTTATCAAAGCCACCAGTCCCCAGGGGCTCAGCAGGAGACTCTCAGCCATTCCTCACACAAGTTCCAGCCTCCAGCACTGTGTTCCTCCTCTGTGTGCTGCTCCCACTGCTCCCCAGTCTCGCCCTCCCTCAAAGGCCAGGTCCCGCCCCCCAGCATACACCCAGCCCACAGCTTTAGGCAGCCGTCTGAGACGGTGCCCCAACAGCTGAGGTCACTGCAGTGCTCCCCGCTGCTGCCCAGGGAAGAAGAGCTGCCCTGCCGTCCTCGTCCCCCACAGCTACTTCCACCCTGGCTGGAGACCCAGCCCCCTGTGGAGCAAGAGAGCACATCCCAGCGGCTGGGGCAGCAGCTGGCTTCCCAGCCCTTGTGCATCGTCCCCCCGCAGGACGTTCAGCAAGGAGCCCATGCCCCGCCCACCTTTCAGACACCGTCTGTCCAGGTGCAGTTGGGCCACCACCAGAAGCTGAAGCTCAGCCACTTTCAGCAGCAGCAGCCGCCGCCGCCTCCGCCCCAACAGCAGCCACCCCCATCTCTCCCTCCATCCCGGCATCTGGCTTCTAGTCAGCACGAGAGCCCTCCTGGGCCTGCCTGTTCCCAGAATGTGGACCTAATGCACCACAAGTTTGAGCTGGAGGAAATGCAGAAGGACCTGGAGCTTCTCCTTCAGGCTCAACAGCCCAGCCTGCAGCTGAGTCAGGCCAAATCGCCTCAGCATCTTCAGCAAACCATCGTGGGGCAGATCAACTACATCGTGAGGCAGCCGGCACCCGTCCAGTCCCAGAGCCAGGAGGACACAGTGCAGGTGAGCCTCAGGGTGGCATGGAACACATATTCTCCCTAGGACAGTGCAGGAAACACAGCCTCGCACTCACAGGGTGGCACAAGAGCACAGTTTCTTCATTTTAGGGTGGCCTTGAACTCAGCCCTCACAGTTCAAGACTGCGCCGGGCTCCACCTCCCATCTCAGGAAAGCTCCAGAGAACAGAGTACTTAGCCCCAACATAGATCTGGGCTTGATACTGTCCAGAGTGGCCTGGCTTAGCCCTGTCCTCCTGGGTGATACTAGGGACCTTGTCCATGAATGGAACTTCCTGAGCTGTGCTGGATTCTAGCTAGTGCCAGGGCAGAAGGGAGGCTGTCTCTTACCTTTGTAACCTCACTTGCCTTGCTGTAACTTGTGTATCCCAGACAGGGGGAAGGGCAGTGAGGGTGTGCCCCACATGCTAGTAGGCAGCAACTTCATAACACTTCATAACACTAAGATAGAGACTTAGAGTTTATTCCAAGCCTACTAAGCTAGGAGTGTTTTATATACACTATGTCAGTTGTCCTATCAACAATGTTGTTATGTAGGCATTACCATCTGTTTTTCTAGGTGCAGAAGTGGAGGTCAGAGAGGGCAAGCAGTTTGCCTAGAGATCCTAAAACGTTGAGTGGTAGAGCCAAGGCTTGGATCCAGGCCTGCTGACTCTGAAATGCCACAGAGGAGGCCTCGTTCTCTCCCTAGGGGGATTATGAAGGCTGCTCCTCTCTTTTCTCAGCTAAGAGACAACTGAAGAGGTGCAGTTTGTGCCTCTGGGATTTTTGCAGCACTCCACATCTTCATCCTTAACTCTTGCTTTTCTTTGTTCCCAGAGCTTCCTGTTCCAGCCCCTTCCTCCTCCCCTCTCACTTTTTTCGTAGCGGTGTCTCCTTTAAACATGTAACCACATTTATATCTTCAAAGCAGCTCTACAGACTTTTACTTTATTACAAAATATAAGGCCTCACATTTATGCTTCAGCACTGACCGCTTCAGATCATGCTTCAGATGTCTTCCTCTGAGGCTCAGTTCCTTTGAGGGAATATGGAATAATCCTTATGATGGCAGAGAAGGGTCTAGGGTTTATAGAGGACCATAAACTCTTTAAATGTAAGTCAAAACTGTTATGATTGCTAAGGTGAATATGACAGAGTTAGCTCATAATTCTTGGTTTGGGTTCTATCCTAAGATTGTCATATTAGGAAGAATTTAGATAAGACTATCTTTCTTTCTGAAAACATTTCAAGCAGATCACAATGTGTAGGTGGTAACAACGGGCAGTGCAGGGTGGGCATTAGCCTTTGCTGCTGCTGCTACTCTTTGCGGTAAAACCCACCCAAGTTCTTATTTTCTTCTCCAGGCTACAGATGAGTCCCCAGCATCTGAAAGCCCAAAGCCAATTCTCCCTCTTGACAAGAATACTGCTGCTAACTTGCCCCAGGCCTCTGGCGCAGAAACTCCTCACAGTGTTCCCCCACTGGACAGCGCCATCCAGCACTCCTCTCCGAATGTGGTGAGAAAGGTACTAACGGAGCCTGCTTTCGCTGACCATATGGGACCCACTGCCAGTCAAGACCCCAGGGACCTGGATGAGGTTGATTGGGTGGGGGGAGGAGTGTCCCTGTTCCATCTCTGGATGTTACACAACCCTGACTCATGCCTTCTGTCCTAATGAGTCTGCAAGGTCCTCCTCTACCTCATTTCCACCCACATACACTAAAAATGGGAGCAACTGAGCCTCATTTAGAGAGGAAGGGGAAAGGGAAAGAAAGCCAACTTATTGAACACTCACTCTGTACCTAGAACTGTGCATGGTGCTTCACAGGGTGATTTCACTTAACCTTCCCAACAGTACTGTGAGGTGGGCACCCCAATTTTATGGCTAAGGAAACTGAGATCCAGGGTCCTACAGCTAGTACATAAGAGGGCTAAGGTTTACTTAAAATGAGAATCCAAAGGCTGAACTTTCTTCTGTCTGCAGTGAGTGAAAATGGGGAAAATGTTTTATGTGGTCCCACAATCCAAAGTTCGTTGGCCTTAGAATTTGGATTAATGGAATTTATTGGGTGAATGCTCTACAGGGATATCCTGCAGAGGTAGCTGAGCATCTAGGGGCACTGGGATCTCTTGGAGATAAGCTATTGGAGCCCTTCCTGTCCATCTACCTACCTGCTGGTGGAAGCGTTCATGGCAATAACGCAGAATCCCATGACTCCTCCGCTGTCCTACTCTAACCCCTGCCCTTCATCCCTACCCTGGTCATCCTCCTAGCTGGAACCTCAGTGCTGTGCCATGCCTTCCCATCAGCCCTCCATGTGTTCCTTGGCCCTGTTCCACTTATCCAATTGCCTTTTCTGGTCTAGTCCCCTCAACCTTCCTGGTACTTCCACTCAGCCCTGTACCTGAAGCTCTGTCAGCTATTCTGTATCCTTCCAGCCTGCACCCTCGGTCCTGCAGCATCCCTTAGGCTACACAACTCCAGTTCCACTAGTTGTTCTGTGTACCTACCCTTCATCATGTTTCTCCCAGTAGCACCATTGCCATATATGTTTTAGATCAGTCTAACTCAGTGATACTTGAGAAGAGAATTTTAAAAAGTAAGAGATGGCAAAAATGAAGTGTTAACTTGGAAATCCCTTGAAGTCTGGGCAGGCCTCTGGTACTAATGGCTTTTTGTCTGTGCACATCCTGCCCTATCCTTTTGAAAATTGTCTGGCCTAGAGGCCATAGAGATGCTGTAAATTGGTCCTTTGTGGCTCTTAGTGGTTTACATTCTTACACCTGGGGTAGATACCTATCCATCCAGCCATCCATCTATCCACCCATTTATGTATTCACTCAATGTTCAAAAAATATATGTTAATCTCCTATTATATGCCAAATATTTTTCTAGGTGTCAGACACACATTGGTGAATAAGAGTCTCACACTGGAGCTTATATTCTAGTGGGAGAGATAGTTAAACAAGCAACAACAATAAAGTATGATAAAGTGCTGTGATAGTCATTGGGGTGTATAGAAGGAGCACCTAACTCTGGGAGAAGGGACTGTTCACAGACTTCCTAGAGGGCATGATTTTAAGCTGAGATTTGAAGGAGAAGTTAGGCTGGTGAAGGAGGGATGGGGGAAAGGCTAGAATAAATAGTCAAAGGGAATGGCAAGTAGGAAGGTCCAGAAGTGAGAGAAAGCCTGGGGTACTTAGGGGGTTTCAGATGATTTGGCTCGGTAGGAACATGAGATGTACTGGAGGATGGGAGTGATTGAAACCAGAGTGGTTGGAAGGCCTTGTAAATTATGCTCTGGAGTTGGGATTCAGTCTTGGTGGGTTGTGAGGCGTGAATGAAGGATTTCTAGCAAGGAGGGACATGGTTTGAATTAAATTTTAGAAAGGTCACTTTAGTTGTAGTAAGAGAGACCAAAATAGTACAGAGGAGAAATAGGAGAAGTTGAATGAAATCAGGTAATGATGGGAATGATGAGGCAGCAAGGACTTCAAGAGATCAGATCACAGGAGCTTTTGGGCTTGGAATCTGACTGGCAATGGGAAGTGAGGGAAAGACAGTCCAAGGTGTGTCTTAGCTTACTGAGTTGCCATTCACCTGAGATGGGAGCATGGGAAGAAAAGCATCTTTGTGGGGGAGGAAAACGTTAAGTTTTGAATTGTTGGTGCTCTCCTGTGGAAGTTACATTATAAAATGAATATAAGATGAATGGAAGGCAGCTAGCTTTAGAGGTCAGTAGGAAGCATGGGCATTGCCAGTGCTCAGCTGGTAGTGGGAGCCATGCTGAAAATGCTTCTGCTTATTTAATGAGTCTCAGTTCTGCTCCTCCACCCAGTACAGAGGAAAGGAGGTGAGCCACATGCAAGCATGGAGTCTGTGCTGCCTGTGTGGGTGGCCCACAGGGCGCTCTGAGCAGTGAGGGGAGGGGATGCTGCCCTCCTGTGTGGCTGCAGGGTGGCAGTGGGGTTAAAGAAGATCCTAAGAACTCTAACTTCTCGTTTTGAGCTGCCCCTGGCCGTTAACCTGGGTTCATGCAGAGGTGTGGAGGGGCAAGTGGCCTGACATTTTTCAGATGTTTTGTAGGCTTCTTTGTGGCTTGGACTCCCAGAAAAAGGAACCTTTGGGTCTACTTGACTGGCCCAGAGGAACCTTTGGGTCTACTTGACTGAGAGAGGTACTGCTTATACACAAAGCTCCTGAAATAAGAAAAAGGGCTTTCTTTTTGAGGGAATTCTTTGCCTTGAATCTGGGATCGGGCAGGGTCGGGGTATGAAGGTCAAGGTTACCAAACAACATTTTGAGCATCTTATCATTGATTGATAATACTTTGTATAGATAGCATTTTCTACTTTTTTCATAGGTTTTTACATGGATTATTCCATTTTATCTCTTTGTTTATCCTAGCAATACTATGAGGAAGCCACTTTCTTACTCCCCTTTGAAAGATGTGGAAACTGAGACACACAGAGGTTCAGTGATCACCTAAGAGTTACACAGCCAACTATTGGCAGTGTTAGGACCAGAGCACAGGTCCCTGCCTCAGCCCTGTGTTCAGTGATGAGGTGAAATTGCCTCTCTCTGTGCACTGCAGTGGGAGAAGCAGGGCTCCATGTGGCCTCTCACCTGCTGGATTTTCCTATCTTTATTCTCTCTGAAGTAGCCTGAGGCCTTGCTGGGGAGAGGTCTTAGGACCCAGCCTAGTTTGGTCTTGGCTATCTTTATCTGGTAAAGGCATTTAGCCCCCAGCCCACTCCTCAGCCTGTACTGGCCTGTGAGTGCCGGGGGACGTCAGAAGTCTATCTGAGGCTCCAGGCACCGCTCTGTGTGTTCCACAGGGACCTAGTCATGCTCGGAGCTGCTTTGTGTCACCACATGGAGGACTTTGGTTACAGCTGAGCAGCTGTGCAGAAGTACCTAGGAGCTGGTACTAAATAAGCTGATGGTGAAAACAGATTGCTGCTGAAAATGAGAAGTGAAAGTTCTAGAATGGGTTTTCTAGCGGCTTGAGCTCTGCCAGTCTCAGGAACATTTTATCCTACCACCTTCCCTGCCTCCAGCAGGATGTTTTTGTATGAACTTGGACATTTGTTTGGCACTAGCTGTTGCCTAAGCTTCCTAATCTTGGTTCAGCCACTCACGATGAAGAAAGACAACTCTGCAACAGAACCCCTTTAAATCCCAAGTGAAACTGGAAGCCGTTTCGATGGCTTCATTTCAAACTTCTTAACTAGTCAACTGCTGAAAAATACACACATTCCTTTCCTCAAAACACTCATGGAGTCAAGGCTGTACACGTCACAGAGAGCCCTATCTGAACCCCAGTTCACTTGCAAGAGGGACCTCTTTTCTGCTCATAATGTGGCCCCAGATCTTCAACAAAGGACTTTGAGGCCACCAAGGTGCTGCTCAAGGCTTGAGAGGAGTCTTTGATGTATTTTCAGCAAATGATACAGAAGTAGTAGGCATT